GGGGGGGGGGGGGGGGGGGGGGGGGGTCAGAGACGTATATTATTCTACCACATTTGCCATGTAACCATGTACTATTGGACAATAGAGATACATGTGCATGTATTATTTTCCAACCCACCAACCCATCCTTAGCCAATACAAACAAGCGAGCAGTAGGTACACGCACATAATTTTTGATGTATTTGAAGATTTGCTAAAACAGTTTTTGATTAACTTCTAGATCTTCTTAAAACCTGTCAAGCTCACGGTCATCAGAATGTTTTGCTGACCTTACTGCGAAGATGACTTGAAATAATGTTTGTAAATCTGTCAAATGCTGATATCATGTGTTGACGAGCAATGCCGATAGATTGGTGGATTTGGTTGATTGAAATAAACATCTAGCAAAAAGCATGATGTCAGTGTTTATTGTTTATCGTCTGTCAACAGAATCATGAATTGCATTTTTTTTTTTAAATCCTTCCAAAATATATCCAGATTATATAAAGACAAAATAGAATACCTGCCCACACAGCTTGTTGTGAAATGAAGACATACAAATGTATAGGCATCACTTGATAAATAGCACTTTCAATTATTTAGGTCACTGAGGTAGAAACGAAAAAGACTTTCATTACATTTTATTTGGCAGAATAGATATAATCAACATTTGTCTGTAGATTATGGTGGAATACAAAACTCAGGATTCGAAAAGTGTTGAAAAAATAATCAAATAAGGCCACAAGCAGCCTTTGTTCCTTAATTTTTCTAACATTTTCTCACCCTTGTTATATATTCCCCCATGATTAATTAATATATACCAGGGAGATCATGTGTCCCAACTCACCATGAAGTTTAAGATAACACATATGGACTTGTGGCTATTGATGCCTGATCACTGCATCTTAAACCCAAGAGGTTTGAGGACTAGAACAGCTCATGACAACAGATACCACCTACTTCCATCTACAAATGCCTGCTACATACACAACCTTTTTACCTGACATTTTCATACAAAGGAACGAACTTCCAGCTTCAGTAGCTGAGGCTCCAAACTTGGTAGCCCGAGCTTCATCTGGCCCTAACACCAGACTTAGACATTTTGACAAATAGATGTCTGGTGCGGGGCCAGAGCACACCCCTTTATGAAAACGTGGAATTCTCTGCCATGGTTTGGTATCGGAGAATTATGAGGTGCTGACAACAAAAATCGACTATGACAAAACACATACCGCACATATATCAAGAAATGGATTATTTATTGATCCAAATCTGCTCTTACTATCATCAACAGCTGCCTAATTCCGTCAGTAGACTCCTCGGTTTTCAATCGTTCAAAATTTTCCACCTGAGCGAATGCCATTTTGTAGTCCATGGAAGTGTCTAATCAACAATCTGTATTGATCCGGGCCGAAAACGGAATATATATTATTTTTGTTTAGAAGATTTCCGGACCGCATCTGTTTTTGTTGATTAGTCACTCCCCGATACCAAACGGTGTTGGAGAATTCCACATGTTCATATAGGAATGCGCTCTGGCCCCACACCAGACATCTATATGTCAAAATTATAAATGTAAGTGAAAAAATAACCTAGTTTATGACCAGAAATGTGAACATCAAGGAAGTCACTACTCCTATAATATAAGAGGCCGCTGGTCTGCCTTTTTTCTATCGGATATGATTTTGCCGACTGCGACGCCTGTCCAAAGTATCTCGCCGTGTAAACCTCTAACATTGTTGGAGTAGTAAGTCACATGACCGTTCACTCTATTGCCTGTAATACTACATGATACACTATGCCTACTGTATTACGTTTAATGATACAGTGCCAGTGGCGTTACTTGAAACACCGACGAGCAATAACTGGTCAAGACACGTTCTGCTACAGACTTACCAGGACGATGGATTCAAAGTACTCGTCCGCTTCTTCTTCCTTTGCAATGAAAATAAACCTGTATATGCTGTAGGCGATGGCCGCGGTGGCTGCACTTGTTGCTACCGTAATTACCACACGGTTAGCATTCCAAGTTCGCTGCAACCATACCAGTGCCATGCTACTGTTGTTGTCAGGATGTCACGTGATGACAATCAAAGTCTGCGTCAAGCAAACGCTACATTACTAATATTAAAAGACAGTAAGTTTTTTTTTATTGTTATGCAGATCTTATTAAAAAATTAAGGAAATACTGCATTTAGAAAATATTATCATACTCTTTTAGTGCACTCAAACCATAAACAGCGGCGAATTTATCGCATCCCAGTGTACTTTCGTTTTACTTATACATAATACTGCGCTTTGATCAGTACTTATCACCGTTCCGCTTCAACGAGTGGCGTCAGACAGCTGCGCTGTCTCTCACTGGGACCGGGGCTGAGCAGGACCGGGGCTGGTGAGGACCGTCAAGATAGGATAACTCGTCCGGACTTGGAGCATGATATAACTGTTAGATATCTTATAACTACATTTTATAGTGTATACGGTCCTCATCTGGGACATTCTTATCGGGAAATAGCGTGGATATTTTTCATTTATACATTTATAAACTAAAGGAAGATAATGTTCACTGAATATGGTCATTTAAATGGTTGTATTAATTGAGGAAATAGAACCACGACTAATAAGAATGGTTATATGCCGTATAGTTTATAACTTAAGCTGTGAGCGTTAACGGTCTTGAGCAGGGACATCCTGATCAGGAAATCTAGTACTAATTATATCCGTATTGATGGATCAAATACATGAAAGTGGCAGTGTTTACAGTCAAAGAGAGGAATTTAAGATGGTTTAGAAATATAAATTAAACTATATTTATAATATTTTATCTTTGTATTCCACGATATAGTGTATATACGTCCTGTGCACGGACATTATGATCAGACAGGATATGTTATAGTGAATCTATCCGTAGTTATTTATAAAATATATAAAGACAGCAAAGTTTGCAGTCAAGAGAGGTGATTTTGAAATAGAAAAAAAACATCAAATCAATCGTCAATCTTTTTAATTATATGTTGATATTGGAACGTAACCGGTAACAGGTAACAGGGACACCCATATCAATGTATCAAGTACTCATTATATCCGTATTAATGGATCAAATACATAAAGGTGACAGTTATAAGAGTCAAGAGATGAGTAAATATGATTGGGAAATAGAAATTGAACTATGTCTATAATATTTTATCGAATTGCATACTAATTTAAGATCCTAAGCAGGAATTTAAATGGAAATAAAAAAGCTAGCAATGCGAACGGTCAAGAGAAGCATCATAATGATTTTTTTTAATGAGTCGTTTAAATTAAGAAATAGAACCCCGACTTACAAGAATTGTTATAAGCCGTATAGTCTATAACTATATATAGCTAGTAGCGTATACGGTCCTGACCGGGGCCATCCTGATCAGGAAACCACGTGCTCATTATCTTCGAATTAATTCATCAAATACAACAGTTGGCAATCCGCATAGGTAAGAGATGGCTGAATGTGATTTAGAAACAATAATTAAACTATGTCTAAAGTACTTTATCTTCCATATATAGATATTAGAACGTCTACGGTCCTGACCGGGGCCATCCTGATCAGGAACTAAAATGGAAATTATTTACGTAGGTATTGATCAAGTACCAAAAGCTAGCAATGCGAACGGTCAAGAGAAGCATCATAATGATTTTTAAATGGAAAATACATTACATCATTGATGGAATACTCTATATCTACATCTCAAAACGTACACAGTCCTGGGCTGGGGCCATCATGATCAGGAAATAAAATCATACCTGTTTGCATACATAATTACATTTATAAACAAAATATAGATCGCAGTGAATATTGTCATTAGAGGAGTCATTTTAATTTAGGAATAGAACCCCGACTTACAAGAATGGTTATTTATAAGCAGTATAATCTATAACTATAGCTAGTAGCGTATACGGTCCTGACCGGGGCCATCCTGATCAGGAAATCAAATGGAAATAATTTATGTAGTAATGCGAATGGCCAAGATTAGCGTCACATATAATGATTTTTAAATAGGAAAGTAGTTTACTTCAACAATGAAATACTTAAAACATACTTCTTATAACGAACACGATCCTCGGCGGGGACATCATGATCAGGAAAAAAGTCAACTTTTCCAATATATAGATATAAACATTTATAAACTAAAGATAGATCGCTGTGTTTATTGTCATTAGAGAAGTCGTATTAATTGAGAAATAGAACCCCGACTTACAAGAATTGTNGAAAACGCCACAATATGCAACGGTCCTGGTCAGCGACGGTCCCCGTCAGCCCCGGTTCCAGTGAGGGCAGCTCAGCTGTTAGACACTGTTGGCTTCAACCGCGCCAATCTCTACCCGGTCAGAGGAACTACCACGTGTGCAATGAAACGACAAAGAATGTATAATTGATTCTGAATCTCATTTAAATTTAACTTTAAAATAAGGGAAACAAATTGAAATAACCGAAATATAATAAACCATTTGAATAAATAGTAGACCTAAATTAACTTTAGGTCTCTGAATAAATCCACGAGTCTATATAGTTATAGTCGTGCTTAATTCATACGCATAAAGCGGATATTGCGACTTCTCAGGAGGTAAAAAAAACCCAGTATTTACAAGTTTTCATATTCTTGAGTTATCTGTTAATTTCAAAACACTGTCAAAGCAAATCAAAGTTATTTATTTTTCCATATAAGCAGAGACGTATATATTATATATACGTCTCTGATATAAGATAACTGGGTGGTGTATTCACTTAAAAATGGCTAAAACCTTGTTGCCAAGTGCGTTACATTAAACAAATTGCATACTGCATACCCAGAAAATAAAACATTGCATCCCCCCCTAGAAAATTACATGCATGTCAAGTATAATGTAGTATTGGGTGGGGTTTGTTTTTATCGTTTTTACGTATGCATTTTGTCGGGTATGCAACATCAATATTTGAGTACATGTATTATTATATTTACTTATGCAAAAATAGTTATTCAGAGCAATAGCAAACATGGTTGCAGTAAAATGTTTTTAAATTGTAATATTTCTTTATTCATATCTGTTCGTAAATCACCTCAGAGAGCATATCGATTTAATTTCCCTTTATTGCGTTCGACTGATTGTCATATTTACTGCAATCATGTTTTCTATGGCGCAGAATAAAATCTTTTGCATACTTGCCAATCTAATTAAAATTATATCTTCACATCGCTCCCGTTTACTGATATGCCGCGTTGATATGTCAAAGCGACATATCAGTAAACGGGAGCGATTGAAAATTTACTTTTAATTAGATTGCATACTTGCGAATATAGTAATGCACAATATCGAACTTTGCACACCAAGAGATATTTTTGCAAAAATTGCAAAGGTTGCATGAAAAACATGAAAACCTGCACATCCAATATTATCTTGGTCGTGTAATTTTCTAGTTTTTACATATGCAAAATTGTTTTCTGCAGTTTTATTGTTAGGTTTATGTAAAATTCGCATATATGCACAACTGTTATTGGCTATTCCGGAAATATTTTTGGGTATGCAATAATTGATTTTGGATATACAATATTACTTTTGAAAACCTGCAAAAATCTTTAATTGTGATGCATTGGCTTTTGTTTCTAGTCGTTTTACAGATGCTGTGTCTGAAGACACGACTACATTTCTACTGTAAATCGCTTAGTCTGGTTTGGACTTCGGGATTAAGAAATTTAAATTTATGATTTGTATTCATTTTGGTTTCAAGCTGTATATTTATTTTTTATTATGAACCTTTGTTTAAACATATTTTATTGCCAAAAATTGCAAGAGGATTGGGCACAAGTTACATGAACATTATTAACGCCCTCTCCTTATAAGATAAATAATTTTATATACACATCATAAGATGGCTTTCATAGTTTAAATCACTACATTTATCTATTATTGAGAGAGAGAGAGAGATAGAGAGAGAGAGAGAGAGAGAGAGAGAGTATTACTTATTCATTGCAGTTTATATAACGTACATCTCAATATTCAACATATAATGCACACATTCATTCTTACGTTTATTTACAAATTATGGTAGATTTTGAAATTTGGTCATGAAAATGGAACCATCCAGCACAGTCAGCGCAGTGATATCTTGGCACTATTCCGTATTTGTGGCTTTCTCCTTTTCATTCCATCCTTTCTCGAAAATTCGTTTCTACCGCACTGGCTGTAACTGAATGGCCCATCACATGCCTATATTACATACATTCAAGCACACGCACACTTCTTGCATTCACGTTCTCGTGCACTTAAAAGAAAGTTAAACATTACAGAGGATTACTAAAATAATAAGGAACACACAAGTGCACGTTATGCCATGTAATACGGACACAAGCTAAGAAATGAATATGAAAGATAATGAGGACTGTTGGAGAGGAGACAGAAGAACGTGACCATATTAAAACCTGCGAGTACTCGATACATACTGTTGGACATATATAAATACATTTTTATTTTCGTCACTCGAATAATCAATACAATAATTTCTCTAAGCTTAAAGGTAAGTATTCATGAAGATTTCTAAACATTTGAAATCTTTGATCAGTATATATATACTGCATGTAAAAAAGAAATGATGAGCATTTTCATTAGGATATCCACATGCACAAATAGGAGAGTTGATTAGGTTAACATTAAAGAGACCATCATTTAAAGGGCTGCATTTATGACGGAGTTTGGTTAGTAAAATATTTAACTTACGGTCACCGGCTAAATAAAAAACAGGCACTTTAAATGTTTCATTTTGTTTTTTGAGGCAGTTTGTGAAGCTCTTAAAAGAATGTGCAGTTTTAATATTGGTGTCAAGCTCATTCCATAGTCTGAAAGTAGAAGGTATGAACGAGTTAAGTGAAAATTGTAAACGGAAATTAGGAATGGAATAGTTCTGAGTTTCTCAAATTATAAGGAGTTAACATATTGTTGTGAATTTTGTAGAAAAGTTGAAGTTTGCGGCGGATGCGACGTTGAGACAAGACTTTCCAACCAGTTTCGAAGTAAAGAGACGCTCTACTAGCAAAAGAGGGCAGACCGGTGACAATACGCGCCGCTTCTAACTGG